AGCCATTTTTCCCAATGCCTGAGAAGGCACTCAAGATGTATTCAAGTACTATGGTGATGGCAACCATATAAAAAAAAAAAAACACCTCAGCTCATCTAATCCTATCAAAATCCATGCCCCACACAAAAGAGCCCATCAGCTCTACATCTCATCTATCATACATCCAAGTCTATTAAAAAAAAAAATAAAAAAAATCAAAGCACTAAATAACTCCTCAGACTTTCTATACCAGTGGTTCCCAAACTGACAGATCATGCACTACCAGTTTAGATCGATACAACCTGAAGTACCACCAGAAAAATTTTGTCACAAAGTAATTATAATAAATCTGTTAACATGTACCACTGACAGGCTGTCTGCGTACCACTGGTGGTATTCATCCCACAAATAACTGCTGTTCTATACCTGTCAGCTATTCAGAGCCCGGCTTCCTCGCAACAAAAGAATCAGTACACAGCAATGGCTGTGTAGGTGTTCATCAGCTGGACTACCTAACAGAGCTTCCTAACTTCTAACCAAAGTTGTTCCAAGTTTTTTCTCCAAATGGATAGAAACTGACAGATGGTTCCAGCTTTCTAACAGTTGGCCTCTCCAAGCTTCTGTCTGTGAAGCTATGTAGGACCTTTTCTTCTCAGTCACTGCTAACAGCTACCGGCTCCAGTTGGTAAAGACAGTCACCTTGATCAACCCCTGGCACAGCCCCAGAGTGAACAATGGATGTACTAGGGAGTAGATGGGTTGGAAAGGATGAGAACCCAAGGAACTTTAGGGAGAGACAAGGCCAGAAGAAAAATTACAGGCTGCATATAAAAAGACTGGAGGAGTGTAAGGGAAGATGCAAAGATGGAAGCAGGACTGCTGGAGACATACAAAAACAGAGTTTGCTACGGGATTCATACACAATAAGAGATAAATTCGGCTCCCCCTACTGACAGAAGATGGCAAGTAGAGAGGTTAAAAAAAAAAAAACCTACACCAGAAAAAATCATTACTGCCAAATACCTTCCTAGAAGGGAATGCAAGTGTATTAGGGAGGCCACACGCCTTACAGCGTTATAAGCACAGACTTGGAAATTTGTAATAGAAAATTAGAAAAAAAAAAGTTAAAACTTCTTGGACAGACTAGCTATTTTCCTAACAGAATTACAATATCTCTAATTAGCTCCTATAGAACAGCAGACAATATCAGCCCATACTACCTACTGTCTTCAAAAGTCTAGTTAAAACAGTAAGGCAGATCTTCAGCTGGTGTAAGTCTGTATGACTCTGGAAAGCAACAGAGCTGAGGTAATCTGTACCATCTGAGAATCTAGCAGTGATTTTTAAGTTAGGTAAGCAGAGAAGCAATTAGCCATGTTCATAGATTCATAGATGTTTGGGTCGGAAGGGACCTCAACAGATCATCGAGTCTGACCCCCTGCCTAGGCAGGAAAGAGACCCCAGCCAGATGCCTATCCAACTTCAGTGTTCATTCAGTCAGATGAATATCTGACTTCAGTGTTAGTCTGAAGTCAGAAGACAAGGTTGATATTCACCTTTATAGACTAATTAAATAAGATTATATAAATGAGCACAACCTTTTATGAGCCCAAGTCTACTTTATCAGATGTACAAAAGTTTGTGCCCTACACGTGCGCGCGCACACACACACACACACACACACCCTCCTTAGTCAGTCTATAAAGGTGCTACCTTCCAAGTTATGTAAACTCAGATATTAATCTCATTTCTTTTTTTCCATATTATATATATTTTAAGAGAGCAGATAAAAAAGTTCTATTTCTTTTTCTGGAGAAAACAGGATGAACAGTAACAGTTTAAGTCACAGAATAAGGCTTAAAATAACAGGTTTCCAAATAGAACAACAGCATAAATATCATTAACATCTCAAAAGCAGACTCAACCATTTCTTCTATTGCTTGAATATCTTTACCTACACCCAACATTAGAGTAGAACTTCTTAGCACTTGAAAATACTTTGTCTATGAATTTCAAATTAATTTTGGATACTTCCATTTTTGGATGTATAACATGGGACACCTGAAGGAGGCTGAATACTCAAGCACATTAATTTGATTTGGCTTGTTTTGCTGCTGTTTTTTGTTTTTGTTTTTGTTTTTGGGGGGGGGGGGGGGGGGGGGGGAAGAAAAGCAAA